GGTACCAATAAACAAAAACAATAAATAAACTGCTCCAAAAGGAATTATTAAAGTTTTCACATGAACCTAACCCCAACGCACTGAAAGCATAAAACACCTTAGACTCAGCACTATTTGAAAAGCTTAAGATCTTTACACTATGAGCTGCTGCAAGACCATGAATGTACGCTGCAAATTTCCACTCCTTCCCATTCTTCAGTCTCCAGAGTGGATTACCCCTCTGCGGCCAAAACAACAGTGAAACAAATTATTGGGGGCAGATCAAAATAAAATAAAACTCGGTTTGGAATTTTCTACATTTTTCTATAATAGATGGTTCTTGTTTCCATCTGTGCCTCCTGAACATCTTACCTACAGTTTTCAGATGCCAAGGCATCATACACAAATGGTTCTCTCTTTCAATTCTCTTCCCTCCTTGGTTTGACAAAGCTTTGGCCAATCTATTCACATTTGCTTGGGATGTCCTCCCTTCCTGATGGGTGCCACATAAATAAGTTCGGTGCTGCCCACGTAGACGTGACTTCAAAAGAGTTGTTGTAGTGCCCAGGAATTGAAATCCTGAGAACTATAGCCTTAGGATGCATTCATGTAGTCCCCCTGGCGAGGCCACACTTAGAGTATTCTGTTCAATTCTGGTTGTCACGTTACAGGAAGGACGTGGAGGCTTTGGAGAGAGCACAGAAGAAGTTTACCAGGATGCTGCCTGGATTAGAGAGTATGAGCTTCCAGGAGAGGCTAGAAAAACTCAGGTTGTTTTCTCTTGAGCAGTGGAGACTGAGGGGAAACATGACAAATGTCTATAAAATTATGAGATGCATAGATAGGGTTGTTGGTCAGACTCTTTTTACCAGAGTTGAAATTTCTAACACTTAAGGTGAGAGGGAAACCATTCAAAGTAGATGTGAGGGGCAAGTTTTTTACACAGAGAGTGGTAGGAGTTTAGAAAGCACTGCCAGAGGTGGTGGTTGAGGCAGACGCAATAGTTTAAGGGACTCTTACGTAAGCACAAGAATATGCAAGGGATGGAGGGATATGGACCAAGGGCAGGCAGAAGGGATTAGTTGGTGTCATGTGCAGCACAATATCATGGGCCAAAGGGCCTGTTTCTGTTCTGTAGTGTTCCATGTTCTATGCTCTATGTTCCACAGGAGTGAAATATCACTTTGGCTGTGCATGGACAGGATAAGGGATGGACAACATTCATCAGCAATCCTGTGCTATTGAAATACCTTACAAATTAAAGGGTGGAAGAACTGCTTAAGAAGGACTGTGCTTGAATTCAAAATACAGGGAGAGGAGATCTCATTGAAGTGTATCAAACTCTGAAACACTCGATGCAGGGCTGATACTTTCCCTAGCTGGTGGTTCTACAACACAGGGTCACAGTCTCAGGACACGAAATAGACCATTTCAGACTGAGTTGAGAAGAAATGACTTCAGTCAGAGGGTGGTGAACCTGTAGAATTCTCCAGCACAGAAAGCTATGGAGGTGAAGTCACTGAGCATATTTAAGAAAGAAACAGGTAGATTTCTAGAAGCTAGAGGCGTCAAGGAGAGTATGGGAGTATGGTGTTGAGATATAGAATGAGCCTTGATCCTACTGAGCAGGCTCAATGGGCCAATTGAGCCCTGCTCCGATTTCCTCTTCTTGTGTTTTGAAGAAGGAGCAGTTCTTAACCCCAGACTCTCCAAAAAGAAACACATGCATTTATTCAGCTCCACTCATGACCACAGGACATTTACAGACCCGACGGGCTGAATGACCTACTTCTCCTCCTATTTTCTATGTTTATAACCAATTAGATGTGCTCTGTGTCATGTAGGAAATATGGCAGTCAATTTGCACACATCAAACCTCCACAAGCAGCAACGCTCAGATACATCTATTTTTGAGATGTTGATAGAGGATAAATTGGCTAGGACTTCCTTGCTCATTGTCAAAATCATGTTTTGGGATCATTTAGATTTACCTAAAAAAAGCAGACAAGGGCCTTGGTTTAATGTCTCATCTTAAAGGTAACATCTCCAACAGTGCAGCACTCCCTCAGTACTGCACTGGAGTATGTGTAGTGATTGTAATGAGGTCAGCCAGGTGGATCTCATAAAATACGAGTTGCCTGATTGTGGTTGTTAATCTGGTCCAATCAGGGAGCCCTGGCTGACCGACATAAACAGGAGAGTCAGACCTGAACTGGAATAAGGAATGTTCCACATAGCCTGCTTCCTGCTTTCCCGGCTTCCTGTAAAGACTTTGTTCCATTCTTGCAGTTTCTCTGTTTCCATCATATCTGTTCTAATGATGCCAACTTCTAAAAAGGCCCCTCTGAAATGTCCGTCTTCTTCCCCAACGAAGGATTCTCTATCATGGGAGTCGACAGGACCCTCAGCTGGATCCAACCCATCTCTCACACTTCGGCCGTCAGTCCCTCTCTTCCCTCACATAACAGTGATACAGTCTCCCTTGTCCTCACCTATCATCCCACCAGCATCCACATTTAGAGGAACATTAGAAGTCATTTCTACCACCTCCAGCAGGATGCCACTACCAGAAACGTATTACTTTCCCCTCCCTTGTCAGCCTTCCACAGGGACTGTTCCTTCTGGGAGCCCTGGTCCATTCCTCCTTTACTCCCAACACCACCCCGCATCCCTGTGGAACCTTCCCCAGCAACCACAGAAGGTGAAATACCTGCTGCTCAGTTCCACTCTCTTCACCATCCAAGGTCTCAGATACAGTTCCCAATCAATCCAGTCTACTGCATTCCTGCTCACAATGCAGTCTCCTCTACATTGGGGAAACGAAGCACAGGCTGGGTAACTGCTTCAAAGAACACCTATGTTCTGCTCACAAAATTAACCCCAAGCTTCCAGTTGCCTGTTATTTTGACACACTACCATATTCCCTGGTCAACATCTGTGTCTCAGGACTGCTGCAGTTCTCCAGTGAAGCTCAGTTCAAGTTGGAAGAACAGCACCTCATTTTCTGCTTGGGAACTCTATAAACTTCTGGACTTAATATCGAGTTCAACAATTTGAGGGCTTGAGCATCCTTCCCCATGATTTCTCCCACACCCACACACCAGATCTTCCCATCACAAGGGCTGCTACCATTGCCAGCTATTGATTCTCTTAGGCTGGCCGTCATCCACTCCTTTGTCTGTCCAAATATTTTGTTTCTCTCCTTGTCCATCCTATTGCCAGCTACCACCAGTTCTGAAGAAGGGTCTGTCACGAAGCTATCATTTTAAGATGTTATTTAGGCCTGGCTTTTTTTCTTCGAAGACAGGTTGTAAAGCTGAGATGCTGAGCTGTCTCTATGGAAATAAACAATTTGTGAAGCCTTGGGGCTTTTATTTAAGTTGAAACATTGGAAGAAGACTGCATGTGGTCAGCTCTCACAGACCAGGCTTTGTAGTTTTGCTTTAGTTTTTAGTTTAGGTTTAAGCAGAAGTCTTTGGTGTTTTAAAAGAGTTGGAAACTTCGGGGACAGTCTCCTAGCTGCTAGTTTCTCTGAATTATCCCTTGACTTTTTTCCCTCCTCAATTGGAGAACTGCATGTGAGAATCTATGTGTAAAATTTCCTGTTTGCCAAGGGGTGTGTTTATGGGATGGGATTGGAGAACTGCACCTGAGAATCTATGTCTACAATTTCCTGTTTGCCAAGGGATGTGTTTATGGGATGTTACGATATTGGAACAGTTACTTAGTAATAGTACTGTATCAATCATTCCATTAAGTTTTCCAAGAGTTAATTTATTTTAAATTCCTCTTTCTTTTGTTTGAATTTTAACAACAGTGTTTAAATAAATTGCATTTTGCTTAACGTCGAGTAGTTTGACCAGTCGCATTGCATCTGGAACACAGCACTTCACATCTATCTTTAAAATAAGAATCAGTTAGAGTCTGGGCTACCTCCTTATGGTATGTTGTGGAGGTCTGGCCAGTGCATAACAGGTCACAGCAACAGAAACATTAACTCTGATTTTTCTCCACAGAAGCTGCCAGGATCGGAAAAGGACTGGGTAAACCATGAGAAGGATGAAAAGGGTATATAGGGAGAAACTCTTCCTTCTCATAGAATGTACAAAAACGAGTGGTCATAGACAATGATAGGTGATAGAACACAAAACATTCTCACTGAGCGAACAGTTAGGGTATGAATTGAACAGGCTGGGAGTGTGGTGGAGATAAGTTCAACTGAGGCATTCAAGAGAATATTGGATGATTATTTGGATACAAATAGTGAGCACAGTTGTGTCGGGTGCGGGGGTAGGTCAGGAGAGTGGCAGTAGGGCATGATGCTTGTTTGTAGTGCCAGAACAGGCGAGATGGCATCCTGTCACATCATAACAATTTTGTGATTCTGTGACAGAGAGATGGAGAAGGGTGATCAATTTGCCTCTGGCATCCCCGAGTGAAATGGCTTAAGACAGATGCAATAGACGTGGCTACTGATAAAGTTGATCCAATATGAGGGCAGCACCACTGGGTGTGCTGAGGCTGGCCAGAAACTTTGGAATTGAGTCAATTCGGAGGCTTGCACTTAAAGGTAAAATGCTTCGGACTGAAACAGTCAGATCCATTGAATTACGAGGGGATATGCCTTGCTGTTAATCGTTTTACATATGATGTAACATTTTGCACTGTAGATCCCTGTTTATGACCTTGGGAGTTCAGCCCTGATGATCTCCTGGACTGCCAAAGAGACGCCAACTCCATTGCGATGGCAGCACTAGTGATGAGGTAGGGGAGGAGAGACCATACACAAGAGAAACTGAAGACCTCCTCGGTGGTAGTATCAGTCCGGGCAGGAATGTAGCATTGTCATGGGAAGTCATGCCACCTCTTAATTTCAAACACACCCTCCTGCTCCTCTCCCCACCTCAGGAAAAGACACTTAAGTCTGGGCAGTACCAAATTTTGTCCCTGCTTGCACCTGAACGTCTGGAGTATAAATGGACCAAGGCTATAAACATCAGGCACGATCCACATTCACACTGCACCTGGAACATGGAATTGAACCACTTGGTTGCTAGACAGCTACAGGTTTGAAGCCTGCATCCTAGGCCATGAGGAATCATGCAGGCATTTTATGCCAGAGCACGGTATCTAATATAAAACACAGGAAGATTAACACAGTATATTCAGGGTTAATAGATAGTTAGTATGAACCAACCAGTTCTCAATATTATATCAGATTCATATCCCATATTACCAATACATTCCATTTATCATGAGAACTGGTAGAAAATAAAGCTTTGTTTATATTCAAAACAATTATGGGTTGAAAATGCAAATGAAGATCGTTAGCTGACATAACTGGCACCACTTTAAGAGGGATGCCACCACCAGATAAATATTCTACCTCCTCCCTTGTCAGGCTTCCGCAAGGACCACTCCCTTTGTGATACCTTGGTCCACTCCTTCACTCCCAACACACCCAACACACCCACAGCTCCAAGGCACCTTCCCCTATGACCACAGAAGGTGCTACACCTGCCTGTTCACTTCCTCCCTACTCACCATCCAAGATCCCAAACACCTTCCAGGTGAAGCAGTCTACTGTATTCGAAGCTCACCATGTTGTCTCCTCTACTCTGGGGAAATGAAGCATAGACTTTGTGACCACTTCACAAAACATCTACGTTTTGTTTGCAAAATGACCCTGAGCTTCTACTTGCCTGCCACTTCAACACACCATCTTGCCCCCTGGCCAACATCTCTGTCTCAGTGAAGCTCAGTGCAAGCTGGAAGAACAGCACCTTATTTTCCACTTGGGAACGCTACAGCCTCCGGACTACTTATTGAGTTCAACAACTATGGGGCTTGAGCCCCTTTCCCCATGCTTTCCACGCACCCCCACAGACCAGGTCTTGACCTCAAATGGGCTGCTACCTCAAGCGACTTATTGACAGCTAAGAATAGTCCAAATTAGCAGCCATTGATTGTCCTAGGCTGGACTTTATCCACTCCTTTGTTTGTACAACTGTATTTCTCTCTCTTTGGGCTCCATCACCACGGAGCAATAACTTCATACCCCACCGTCCCAACTCTATCTTGAAAGAGAAAGCGATCCATTTCCTAGGTACCATCAGTAATAAAGAAGGGTAACTGAACCCGAATTGTTAACTCTGATTTCTATTCACAGATGCTGCAAGGATTGGAAGGGGAATGGGTGAAGCATAAGCAGACTGAAAAAGTAGATAGGGAGAAGCTCGTCCCACTCACAGAATGCACAAGAACTAAATGTCATAGATGGGGATAGGTGATGGAAGAGAAAACATTTTCACTGAGCAAGTAGTCAGAGTATGATTTGATCAGCCTGGGAGTATAGTGGAGACAGTTCAATTGAGTCTTTCATGGGAACATTAGATGACTATTTGGAGAGAAATAGTGAGCATGGGTATTGGGGGGGAAAGTCAGCAGAGTGGCAAGAAGGAATGATGCCTGTTTGAAGGGACAGTGCTGGCAAGATTCCCTCCTGACACACCATAACAATTTAAATAACACAAAATATAAAATAAAATAACATCTAACATAAAATAACAGGTGCTCTCCATTGCGATGGCAGCAATAGTGATCAGGTGGGGGAGGAGAAACGGAATGCAAGAGAAACAGTGGGCCTCCTTGGTGGCAGT